GAGAGAGAGAGAGAGAGAGAGAGAGAATTTTAACATTTATTCATTTTTTCTTAGTTCTCGGCGGACACAACATCTTTGTTGATATGTGGTGCTGCTGAGGATCAAACCCGGGCCGCACGCATGCTAGGCGAGCGTGCTACCGCTTGAGCCACATCCACAGCCCCTTGGCAACTACTTATGGGTGATTCAGTCATTTAAAAACTCGACAAAAGGGATTATAAAAATCCCTGGCAACCAGAGAATTCCTCTAACTAGAAGTGGTGATAAATTATAGAGATATTTGATTTTAATATAACATCTGCAAATGACAGATGCATTTTCACATAGTTTCCAGTGCCATTCCTTTACTAAAAATAATGCTAATAATAATAATTAATTATGAAAATAGAACATACCACAAAAATTCATTTTAGTTGTTCAGTAAATTCTAGTTGTCTAGTATTTTCAATTATCTTTTCTAAATACATGTTTCTTTGTATACTCAAAAGCTGACTGACTTCCCTTAGAATTCCCCAGAGTATTTTAAAGTTCATTTTTTAATTCAAAAAAGTTATTTGGTTGGGATTGGGATAGATATTTAAGAAAATGACACATTTGAAATTAAAAAAAAAAAAAGAAAGAAACTTACGTGTGTTGCAAAGTCACATACTCTCCCTATATAATGAGGCTACACGAGTAACCTAAAAATAGTTCCTTTCAAACAAAGTACCAACACTAGGCTCCTCTTGACCTCATACATGCAAGTAGTCTTGAGACTTCTGGCACATTAGCCTTCTGCCAGCATCTCTGGGTGTGTGCTCCAGAAAAAGGTGCTGGACTGTGTCATCCTAAAGAGGGATACATGTCCAGGGCCACTATGTATCTGTACATGTGCGTACACATACAAATATTGCCAAAGCTGCAAGAGGGTCAGATATCATTTGGATAGAACCCTATTAACAGTCACAGAAGTTTAAGAAAAGTTCTGGGCATCTAGGACAAGAGAACCCAATCAGCTTTTTAATTCCTGAAGGGACTGTAGAGAGGCCTTAATTCCCATCCTGAATTTTACAGTTGATAAAACAAAGGTCCAGAGAAATTCAGAGACCTGCCCAAGACACCCACCCCCTAGCGGCCGCCTTGGAATTGGATTGTTGAGGTCTTATCTTCTATTATCCTTTCCTTCTTATATTCTCAGAAATGATTGAATCATCATTATTTTTTTCTCCCATGCCACATCTACCAAGGTGAGTAAGTAGAGTGTGGAGGACATCAATTCATTTTTCATTTATAAAAGTGACACTCTGGTTGAGGTGATAAGGAGGACTCTTTTCCAAAATTTCCTTTTGTCTTATTCCTAGCCAAGGCTACTTGAGAATATCTTTCCTTTGGTCAGATGGTTACCAATCAGTCACTAATGTGCACAGAGATGAACATGACCCCAAATACCACAACTCTCACAAATTCATAAAGGCAAACACTATATAAACACCAATATCGCCTTCTAGACATTGAAAGATAGGGAAAGCAATATGGGTACTCACTGTAGTGAGGGGGCTTTGTGAATTATTTTCCTAAAAAATGAATGGGACATTTTCGCAAACCCCTTAAAGTCACTTACTTTCTGCCACACATGCCAGCCTTCCCTGGATAGCTGACTTGGTAACACAAGTAGGGAAAAAAAACCCTAAGTCTGACAATAATGGATTTTGACCAAAGGACAACCGTGTCAATATTTATAGAGACAGATTTACTTTGAAAATGATTTAACAATGAAGTGATGCTTCAAAGCATGCTGCTTTAAAAAAAAATTTTAAAAAGGAGTTCAATACAATGCTCAAAAAGTAAGCAGGCCCCTTCAGCCGTGAGGGGTTTATGTACTCCCACAAGCACACTCACAATTCAACATAACATTTCACAAATGCTGTATATTATTAAGAGGCCAATTCTGCCAGGCACATAATTTGTATATTTAAGGGAGGTGTATGGAATGAAAAAAGCAAAATATGTTGAATTTCAAAGGACTTGGAAGCAATGCTGCCTGTGAGCTTATATTACAAATAGCCCTACATTATTATATACGCTATTAATGAGACTGAATGAAAGTACAATTTGAATATGCATGACTCTATCCAATAAGCAGGACTTTTGTGTACTGATGAGGTTCCCCCCCTCTCCTAAAAAAGGATTAAAATCACTCTGAGAGAAGTATGGTTGACCAGAGATCAGTAAAATAAATATATTTAGACCACTGGATCATACTGTCTTCAGATGAAATACACAGGTGCTATAAGAAAGCCTTTGACTCCGCCTACTATTTCTGAAACTTACATATAGGCTGTCTTCCTAAAAGGAATATTCCTCAACTTCAACCAGCTGCATCATTACAATCTCTAGACAAAAATAATGATTTTGGTGGAGACATGTAAAAGTAGGCGAGGTTAAATAAACCTTTTGAGTACAAAGCCTTCACTTCTATAGTACAGAGCACTAGTTAAAAGACTAGGGAATGGGTAAATTATTGCACCAAATGGCTGAGAATTAATCTCTGCTGACTAGCTGTAATCTAACGAGGCGGCTGTGTCCCAGGGAGCCCGCAGCATGTCCCTGGCGGTATGTGCAGTGTGTAGAGTCTGCGTGGCACCCTTTGTCCTCGCTCACAGGCGGCCTTTCCCCTCATTGTCCATAATATCCTCATGCATCTGGGACGCGTGGAATGCATTCATACTAACAGACTTACCATTGTTTTCTCTTAGAAGCTTTGTTGAGCAAAGACTGCATCACGGTTACTGATAATTATATTGCTTAATTAATCAAGACAAAAAAAATTTGCAAATCATTGCCTGGTTGCCAAGCAGGGAGATAAAAAATGACAACAATACAAGCTGAAGCAATATAACAAAAGTAACAGCTATCTGATCAGAAATTCTTATATAATGAAGCTATTAATGCTAAATCGGTTAATGTTAACATTGCTCCAGGTGTCTCTACTTAGATGCAAACAAAAAGGCTAACATTATGGATATAAAAGGCCAAATGTTGCCATGGATTCTGTAACCTGATAGAGAGGACAGCCTTTTCATTTGATTAGGGAATGCAATTTAAATACCAGGGACTGAAGCCAAACAAACAGACTTTCCCTTCGAAAGCCTCCTGCATTCACCCTGGGGTCAGTGGTTGGTGAACAAAAGGTCAGCCACACTTGCCCTGGAAATGTCTGGATTAATTTTATTACATTGTAATGGTTTGTACTTTAAATGTAGGGATAACACTAAATTTCCAGTTGCCCATTATTCTCTTCTTCCCTTTAGGCTTTTTGAATTAAAATACTAAGAAAGCAATTTGCTCAATTCATCCTTGTCAGAATTTATGACCAAATTTATAAAATTTACACACATTTTGTAGGAAATTTTAAAAGGTATGTTAAAGATTGCTTTTATGCATTTTATACTACTTTTTAAAAAATAACCTTGACACTATTAAGAAAATTGAAATGCCTTTTGTGTTATTTATTTCAAAGATAAAGACAACATTTTAAGGACATTAAATGACATTTCTAGATGGCATATTGAAAAATGAATTAATAAAGCCAGTTAATCCAAACTAAATATTAAAGAAACATATTTTCTAGTTTGGAAAGCTACAAAATACTAAATTTATTGGTTCTGTAATATTAAAATTTTCACTTTAATTCTTAAAGTAGTGCTCTTTGTGAACAAATAAAAATGTGAGTACCATGCCATTTCCTTGTAGTATGACTGAAAACATACACAAACTTCATATCTCTCAAGTAAAGATAATACAAATATTCAATGTAAAATTTTGGCATCTTTATTCCATGAATAAAAAAGAGTTCTTCTTATATTAGGCTGTGAATCAGCCACAGTGGGACTTTCCTGGTGGGAACTGACCCACATTTACCTAGTTTGAGAATTAATCTACGTGTTAAACTTGGAATTCATTATTGATTTTATTCCTGTGAGAGTAACAAAAAATACCAATAGAAATGATAATGATATAACAATTACAACAACAGCTAACAAAGTAGCTTTTTCTCTGGACCAGGTACAGTTTGAAGCACTTTTTCCTTATTAGCTTATTTAACCCTTACAAATGTAACAATTTAGATTTGAAATCAATTTGAACAATAAATTTCAGTGATTTATTATTTTGAATATTAAAAATAGAGAGCTTTTAGAATGGTAAGTTTGATCTCCTTTAGAACAATTTAGAATGAAAATAAAAAATTATATTTAATATCAAACTGAAAAATAGAGGTCATTTTTCTTAAGGAATGGGTTTAATATGCTAAATGTTTAATTTAAAAATTTTTAAAAACATCTTAATAATTACAAAACCAAAATAAATCTCTGTATAAAGCACTGTTAAAATACCACTAAAGGCATGATAAGGATGAAAACTGCAGCCAATTTAGTACATGGGATCAAGACCATTGGATTGTTCCAGCCATTCTGGTGATCAATACCAACAGACATGGCTGAATTGATTCTGTGATAAGGTGCTTCGATTGTTAATACCCATCACATGGGCTGTGCTGTAGAGGCTCAGTCTCTTTGCAGACATGGCTGCTATCCTTCAGGACTGACCTCTCTTAGCACAGTCTAGGTTCGTCAAACAAAGTTGGATTCTATACCCAAATTATCCCTAAAATGCTAGTTGTGAAAATGGGCTTTCTTCAACTGTTATTATTAATCAATGTGTCCAAAATTTAAAATTATAATCTTTTAAATTACAAAATTTTCAAAACAAGATATTTTTTAAAAAATCATAAATTTCTTTGATTTTTCCGAGGCCTAGTAATACAATATGGAATTTTGTGCTTATAATGAAAGATACTTTGCAAATCCCAATTCATATTAAATTCTTATATGGCACATATAATTTGGAGATATGTAAAAAATCTAGCAGTTGGGAAAAAAGTCCCCTTTAACATTATCATATGTTTTGAGACAGTGAATTATATGGTAAATGGTCTGGGCAACAACATGGAGAAAACATACCTCGGGTTTCTTCGTTATGGCTATAAAGAACATGTGATTCTTCATTGGGTAAATAATGATTGAAACATCTCCAAAGGCGGTTGGGATAATACCCCTGCGGTAGTCCCTGGAGTGTTCAGACCAGACAATGTGGACCTCGTCATTCCCCAAGTGACGGAGCTGCAACAGCAAATTGGCTCTTTATTAATCAAGGTGATAACAGCAGTTTATAAGGGGTCATGGTTTACAAATTGAATTATAAAACACAGAGGCAAAAACTTTTACTACCTAAAAGGCTACAGCACTGAAGTCTTCTATGAGGATTTTAAAAAGCACAATTCTGTGAAAATACCACTTACCTTCTATGAAACACACATGGTACTAAGAATCACATCCAAGCACTGAGGATGTGTTGTGGGCCGGATGGGCCTAAGACCTTTTCAAGGATTTTTTAAATGGAATTGTACCTCTGCATTGAAGCCATATGCTTTATATGGCTGAGTATGTTTCAAAAACAATTAATTAATACGAGTTTTTTAATCCATAGTACATTAGCCTCTTAATGGTTATTAACAAAATAAGAATATAAACATAAGAGAACATAAGGCATTATAACACAATTGTTAAAAAAACATAAAAGAAACTAGTCTTGTGACAAATCTTTAAGAAAAAGAACATATAAAATTATCTTTGTTTAGGAAACTAATAAATGTTAATTAAATTTCATAGGAACACTAGAACCTAGCATTGAAAAAGCTCCTTACCATACAGACAGTGTGTTTAATCTTCCCACTAACTCTCTCAGGTATACTACACCATCTTTATCTCCTCTTACCAGGAGGAACCATATGCTCAAGAAGTCAAAGGTTGTGCCTACTCAAGGTTGCGTGAACAATACATGTGGAGTGGGCCTGGGAATGTTGGCTGGAGCTTCTGGTTCAGAGTATTTGTTCTGTTCCCTGGATATCTAAGTCTACACCAAAAGCTGCTTTGTTGCCATCACTGAAGCAGTTTTGCCCTCTTGTTTTATCATCTCATACATAAAGGGTCTGTAAAGTCCCCAAACAAATCACAGACTCCTAGTCACTTTGAAGAGGCCTTAGCAGATAGGTCCAGGAAAGGACCCTCTGAGAGTTTTTCCAGGGTCCAACTCTTGTTAAATCCAAGAATACTCTTGGTAAATCTCCTGAGTGATAATCACACTCTACCAAGCTGGAGAACACTGCATATGACATCAGTTGAGAAGCCTGAAAGCATGACTTAAAAAAAAAAAACAAAAAAAAAAACCTAGGTTATAAAGATAAAAATGTTGGACCAAACTGAATTCTAAAACCGAAGACTGACTGGTGAAAGTCCTTTTGACACCCACTGTGACGGTGAGGTTTCTGTTTCTGACTGGTAGCAGCAGAAGGACATTACCTATCAACAGGAACAAGCATTTTGTTTGTTTTCTTATCTAATAGTGGAACATCAAAAGTGACCAAATAGAGATATTGTGTTTCAGTCTTGTCTCAGACAAAAAAAAAAAAAAAAAAAAAAAAAAGGACACTCTGGAATACTATGTATTTAAAACGTGTTAGAATAAATACTATTTTCTTTACAGACTATTTGGCCACAAAGGGAAAAATCCAAGGTGACTCTAACATGGCTTCTCTTCTATTTATAAGGTTACAAAGGGAAGTTGTTTGCTGTAATGTCTGCTTATTCTTCACTCTCTCATACTTCTGGGAATGACTGTACAAGTCAGTTACTTAAAAAATACCTGCATCTGTCCCTTCATACCTACACTGAGGGTGCACGATTCAATTGTGTCTGAGGATGGGCTCTAGGACAAGTGCAATTGCAGGAGTTGAACACTTGATGTAGTTGATGACTTTTTAAATTCAAAATTACAGTACATCTTTTTCTTCTTTCCCCACTCTCCCACAGCCCCCTCATAAATATTATAGCTAAAATAAGAGCAGGCAAAAGGCATATCCAGCCCATTACACAAATAGTTTAAAAAACAAAAAACAAACAAAAAGACAACACTGGATTCTCATAATAGCCCTGGTAACCCTGGACATCTCACTTCATTCCCATCATTATTTCATTTCATTGTTTTATAGTGAATAGAGATCAAACCCAGGTCCTCACATTTGCTAGGCAAGTGCTGTTCCCCTGAGCTACACCCAAGCTCTACTTCCATCTTAGATACTATACCTTCGCCTTCTTTCTCCTTCTTAATAAACTATGTGAGGACCTTACAACAGACTCCTACAACTAATTCTTTTTAGAGTAAAAACACGGCAGCCAACACTGTCAACAACACAAGCAAGATAGGCAGGTTTCCACATTTCAAGAGAAATGTGCATAGTATCTAACTGAAACTCTGACAAGAATTTGGAGCATTAGAAGTTAATCTTGAGAAATGGGGTTGTTCTGGAGCTCAGAACTGCAGCCCTCATCCTGAAAAGACGGTGACATTGGGACCCATTGGTATAACAATGGCACAAACATCTGAATGGGAACAGCTCACCTACCAAAAACTTGGGATGTTACTCTGGATGCCAGCATCTAATATCTGTGTAGCTCTTTGATCCACTGTAACTGAAGTAATAACAATGATTGCTGAAATTTTGCTGTTACTCTCTCCTTTATAAATTGGTTACTCAATCACATAACCCAAGTAAGCCTCTCCTAATTTTATTTGCAACTGTATTCTAGAGCCACAACACAGGGGATTAGTATCCCACTAATAGACCCTTCCTTCTAGTGTGGTGATTCTATAATTTAGGAGGAGCTGTTTTTGTGCGATAATAATGCAGTACTCATCATTTCAGTGCTGCTTTCAATGTCATGCACCTCAGACTTCTGGAAGCATTACAATTTAATTAACTAAATCACAAAACTAAAAGCTAAGGCCATGGGACTAATTGGCTGATGAATCTAGAGCATAAAGCAAAATTATACCCTCTTCTGCCTATGACAAGAACACAAGTAGGTAAAACAAATAAAATTAATCTGGACAAAGTGTTCACCATGTCATAACATAACAAAAACCCTAGAAACCTTAAAGTCTTACTCTATTTAAAGGAGATTTCAGTAAGTTACTTTGTGAGTTTTACAGAGTTTTGATTAGGGGCCCTCCAATTAGAAACCCACCTGCCATTCGGCTCAGGGCACACAAGTCAAGTTGATCTGATGTGTGTGTGATTCAGGGGGAGACTGATGAGTCTCCTACTGGCATGGAGCTGGCATTCACACTGGCCCTTGCTTCCACTGCACAACAGACTGCAGAAGGCCCTGATGTTCATTGGGCTTACAACAAATGCCCACTTCTTCAGTCTCAAGAAATCAAGCCCATGTGCTGCCACTTCTTGTCTTGATAGAGTTCTAAAGTCCCTCCACCAGAGCCATTGTGCCTGCTGCTGCCAGGCTGCACGCCACTGGTGACACTGGTCATGGTCCACACCTAATAGGCTGACCTCCTTTCCCTACTAATTGCATTACATCGCCAGCTGGCTCCAGAAGGAGTCGTCTGTTTGATTGAAGAATTCCTGCTCCTCAGTGGGCCCGGCTGCTACTTTTACTAAGTAACAGTCAGGCCTGACATCCCCATTGTTCAGCTGACAGTGTGCCCATCCTAAAATCTAAGTTTTATTTGTAAATTAACCAAGAAACTTCCTGCCAGAACAGCACTGCCTGGAGACTGATAATGTGGGCCTTTCATCCCTTTTCACTCGTACTGTATCACTGCCAATTTGTTTTTTATGCGGCTGGCCAGCCTGAGGCTATAAAAGCCTTGTAAGACATAAGTGCAATTATAGTCCTGGAGTCAAATGAATTGGACAAATCCAATAGCACAGCTCTGTCCCCACTCTGCAAACCCCTACAGCAGTTAGATTAGCTGTGAAAAATCTAATCTAGCTAGAGCTAACAAATATCTGCAGTGAAGGATCAAGAGTTCAGTATGGGGTTGCAACCGGATTGCAGAATTGAAAAAGTCCCCCCCATGACAGGGGCAGAAGAGAGCATGAATCACTTTAGAATTTTGCAGCTCATTTTTAAGCTGTTAGGAACAATTTAGTTAGAATAAGACAAGGAACTGTGGGCCTTTGTTACTATGATTTTTAGTCTAGCTGTGAGACATCCTGTTATAGAGAGTTTATTGCTAATGATGCTAAACCTTAGAGCTGCAAAAGGTATCAGCTGAATTTTGATTATTATAGTAGGGAATCTTTCAACCAGGCCAAGACTTGGAACATTATTTATAGCATGACATTTTGGTCAAGAAAACAGTATGTCTTTTCTCATAAAAACAAAACAAAACCATGCCTCTTTACTTAAAGAAATACCTTTAAAATATTTTGTTACCTTTTAACAAAATAGCTTTCTACCATAAGAAAATTAATAGAATATGGTGACATTTTTATTTGCAGAGTAGCAAAAATTTACAAAATACCTCAACTTAAAAACAAACAAACATGGTCATGCCTTCAGGACTCAGTAAGCTGCACTAGACTTTGAGATACCAGAGAGGTCCCAGGGGATGAAGTCCCTTCCACTAGGGGAAGACATCAGAACCTAAGACTTGGAGGTAGTTCCTCCAATGCCTGTGGGAAACAGCATGTGGCCCACACCTTTTGCTGTGGGGCTCTCATTTTCTGAAAGACACTATACCATGTGGGACTGAGGAATGAAAGACTGATAAGTTTCTCAATGGAAATCAGGCTTTACACACATCTGAGATACTTGATCACTATGAAAGTTTTCTGTGATTGAGCCGTGACTTGTGTTTTGATACCCCACATGCACTGCTTCATGTATACCAGGTACATAGTCCAGATGTCTATATTGTAAGTTTGTATTCAAAAATATATGAGAAATAAAATATAAAAGGTACAGTAGGACCTATCAGCTATTGCTCATCTGACTAATGGGGGAGGGGGAAACAATCAGTTAAACCAATGGGCAAAGCCAAGGGCTGATGATCTTACCACATACCATGCTGAATTTTACAGAGCATCCTCTCATTCACTTTGCTCAACTACCCTGGGAAATAGGCTCTGCTTTTAATCTTATTTAATAGATGAAAAACAGGCACAGGTAGATAAAATAACTCAACACATACTTGAGCTCAGGTCCACCTGTCTGCAGAGTCTGGCTCTAACCCCATCCTTAGACTCCCCATTGTCAGTCTTAGCACCTAAGGTGCTATACTCAGTTCCTTGCATCAGAACAGATGAGTACAAATCACAGCTGTTCTGGGATGTTTCTCTCATCTGGAAACTTACAGGAGTGGCTTCCTTATCAGACTAAAGTATTTTTTCTATTAAGGTGCTCTTCACTCCTAACACAGGGTCACCTGAGGTGAACAGCCTGGTGGTTGGAAGGTAAAGGACCATGTTTCCCTGGGTGAGTTCACTTGGGGCACCAGGTTTCCTTTGAATTACAGGGAAAACTGACCATAGGGCCAAAGCTCAAGGAGAATGAAAGGTACCCAACAGCAAAAATGGATGGCTAGGCAGCAGCACATCTGTATTCCTCATTTTGGCAGATGCTACCAACTTACTCCCAGCAAGCCTGTGGTGGTGGCGGGCTTCTTTCCCAGAGCACCATTAATACTTTTGTCACAAAGGCCATTACACATTGCAATCTTTGAGGTAAACTGTATTATTTTCTGTCAGGTGATATGAATATGAGAGAAGATCCCAAAATAGCAATATTTTAGACCCTCCCTTTTCCCAATCCTTAATATTGGGTCTTAAGTTTGTGCCAAATTGGATTTTAGATTCACCACAAGTGTAGCCTGGGGAAGAGCAACACTGAAGTTGAGTCCCAAGGAAAGCAGTCTCAGAGCTTCAGGACCTGGTCTTTGTCCCGTCCTAAGAGGGTCTCCCCTATATACCAGAGCAGCTAAGGATGGTCCCCAATGAGGGCCCTTACCTTTTTGGTAAGTGAATCATCTGAGCCTGATGGCATCCGAGTGGAAACATGGAAAATCACTTCCACAGTAGAGGTAGCATAATAAGGGGCCGTCTGACCAGTGCTGCCATTGCGCTGAAGGCCACCCATGAACCCACAGTGGGTGGAGAGATCCACCTAATAAAGATAATATAGAAAGAAAAGACTGGGGGTCAAAAATGAGTTGTGAATGTGAATTTTTAAAAAACAAATGATTTTCACTTCATATATTTTTGAATACAAACTTACAATATAAAACAAAATTAGCCAATGCTAAAATATTAAAGAAACAAAGAACATTAAAATTAAAATTGCTCCATATTCCTACTATCCAAAGAAAACTACTATCAAAGTTCTGGTATATATTTCTCTAACTTTCTGGTACCTATTTTTGGTATATATTTCTCTAAATTTTTCCATATAGGCATACAAATATACACAGGAGTCCCCACTTACCTTTGGGAGCTATGTCCCAAGACCCCTAGTGGATACCTAAAAGTACAAACAGTACCAAACCCTACAATACACTAGTATTTTCCCCTATATATCTTTGATAAAGTTTCATTTGTAAATTAGGCACAGTAGAGATTAACAATAACTAATAAACCAGAATAACCATAGCAATATATTATAACTAAAGGTATGTGATTTTGGTGTCTCTTTCTCTTTTTCAAAATATCTTATTACACCTTCACCTTTTCACTTAAGAAGCATTTTATGGCTTCTCTCTGGGATATCAGAATGCCAGCACCAAGAACCTCGCATTCTGGGGCCAATACACATACACACAAACACCCACAGTTTCTCCACTGATGGATTTGTGGGGCTTTTTGTTTTTTCAAACCAGATGGAACACTCAAAGGAGTGTTTTTCTAAGATGTTGTATCAAGGGGTACAGATATTACTCAATTTAGTAGCTATCACTAAACTGTTTCTCCAAAGGGTTATCACAATTTATACCATTGCAAAAAGTTTATGAGTCATAATTCATTTTAAAGTTATGGTGTGAATGCTCACTTTGCACCTAAATCTAATTTTTTAACTTGTTGGGGGAAGAGGAAACCTCTAGGGGAAAAATATGGTTTTTTAGCTAGGAGGTATAGTCTTGTGTGTGGTTTCACAACACACCATCTTTTATCTTGTCCCATTTTTCTTTCAACACACTGCCATTTCCCCTGTGTGGAGGGCCCCCGGGGCTCAGGGTCACCAATGGTTCTTTCTTTATCATTCTTCTTTATCATTCTTTCAGTAATTTTTCTAAACACACACACAAGAAAGAAATAGAGAAATCTCTTCTGTGCCAAATAACAATCTACATACATTGTGGATTAATGTTTTGTTTTCTTAGTTGAGAATGTATGATTTAAAAACTATATTAATTAAACAACAAATATATTCTATGACAAATAAGAAGTAACCTTATCAGCAAGAACAACAAAGATTTATTGGAAGTGCAATAGCTCTTAGACTAAAACCTACTTGGCTCTTCAGAAAGCATATGATCCTAACCTTGATGTACTCTTGCCCTGACCCTAGTTCTATAGGAGTCCCCTTGCTAATGCTGAACTCTCAGAGATAAACTGTGCTTATGTACCCAGAGTTTCTCCTTACCACAGATAACTAGGAAACCAAAACAAAAGGAAGAAAATTATTTTAGATATTTTGATTTCCATTTTATCTACCTTGAACTCTTCATATTCTGGGGAAATATTTTCCTTTAGACTTATGTTTCTAGGGGAGAGAGATATGTGTGTGTGTGTGTGTGGGTGTTGTGAGAGAGAGAGAGAGAGAGAGAGAGAGAGAATATATTTTTTTAGCTGGCTGCTGTAGTGCATGCCTGTAATCCCTGAGCAGGAGGATCACAAGTTTGAGAAAAGCAGCAGCAACTTAGTGAAGCTCTAAGCAACTTAGCAAGACTCTGTCTCAAAATTAAAAGATTAAAAAGGGCTGGGGATATAGCTCACTGGTAAATAAAGCATCCCTGTGTTCAATTCCCAGTGGCGCCCACCCCCCAATTTTTTAAGAAGAAAAATAAACAAACCTACAAAATTTTCAGTTATCAATCATCCTGGGGAACTATGTTAGAGAAAAAAGTTGATGGGTAAGCCACCATAGCTATTATATTTTATTTTCATTTCAACTTTTGACTTCATCCAACTCTTCCTTCATCTTTTTACTTGCCAAGTTATTGATTTCTTCTCTAAAAGCTCCATTTCATGGCCCAAACCATTGTTTCCTTGCCCATATTTGTTTTCTCTTACTATAAATCACCTATAACTGGGTGACTATTCTGTTCTGATACAAAGCAAATGAAAAAATACAAAGTGGAAAGTTAAGGGGAAACAAAAGTTCATGTAAAAAGTACTAAAAGTTCACATATAAAGCAACTAATAGAAGATGTCAAATTCAATGTTCTCTAGCTCCTGAACTAGAGAACACTTTTTATTCAAATAGAGGTACTGAAGCCAGATTTAAAATTAGGTAGTCAGTGTAGTTAGGCTATATTTGACTATAAAAACACATGCAAAACCATATGTAATTAATATCTAGCTTATATACATTCTTAAATATAGTTAGTCAATAAATACCTATTAAATGAAAGTAATTACCTCCCATCCAAGACCAGCCACAAAATCTTCATATGCTTGGCTTCCTCTTTCATTGGAGAGGATTGAACACTTGTCTTCTTGACCTTCGGCAATGTAAAACACTGCAATTTTGTGTGTCTCACGGCTGTTAAATTTTTAAATTAAAAGGAGTTAGACTTCTCTTGTGTAAAGTTTTATTTTGTTGCCCAAACCAGCATAACTCCCATTATTGAGCTCACATCTATTGAGAACTTCCTAGAGGTCAGTCACTAAGATAGCTTGACACATGATCTCATTTACTCTTTGCAACTGGGGATACTCTTTGCAAAAAGGGCTGGGGATATAGCTCACTGGTAAATAAAGCATCAATTTTATCTACCTTGAACTCTTCATATTCTGGAGAAATATTTTCCTTTAGACTTATGTTTCCAGGGGAGGTGTGTGTGTGTGTGTGTGTGTGTGTATTATCATATCACCTGCCTTGCAGAAGTGGTTGGAAGGAGACAAAGGAATTTAAATAAAAAGCATGCAGGGCAATGGGACTGGAAACTAGATCAAGGCAGTCTTGTTCCTAGACCATACACTCAGACATTAAATATACTGAACCACAGCATGTTAGAACATACCATTTGGTAAATTCTTTTCATTTTTGTTAAATAATATCATCTTTTAAAGCATTTCAAATAGATATCAAGTATGAGTAGATACATGTGCAACCCACAGCATACCCACAGGTAGTCACTTTCTACACCTTGAGTCACTTTCTACACCTTGAGTCACTTTCTACACTTGGTAGGTCCTTGATTCTATAAGATATGCCAAGATATGACTTTAGGAGAAGGAGAAACTTCTTCCAAGCAGCACATACTTAGGTATTTTCTTTGTGAAAGAATGTACCACCCCTGTCTGCTGAATTCTGAGGGTACCTGGTAAGGGGAAGAGCTGTCCAAGGAAACCTTTTTTGGTCACATAAATCCTTTATCATTTTGCTCCATGATAGATTTTGGAAAGTTTACTGTTAAAGCAAGTGAACATGATATGCATTTTGAAGAAACAATCCCTGCTTTTTCATCTTTTGTACGTGTAGCCTAGGATTTGAACACAGTAGGAGCTCAGCTAAATCTCTGCTAAACTGACCAGATAAATGATGGTATATTTGGATGTCTTAATAACCACTTTCTATGAATACTGTGGAATAAAGTGCCAGAATAAGTAGACCACTGTCAAGGAATCTGGTGATAAAGAAGAGATGGAAACACTTTTTATTCAAACAGAGGTACTGAAGCCAGATTTAAAGTTAGGTAGTTAGTGTAGTTAGGTAAATTGGGTCTAATATCCAGTGAAATCTAAAATGGAGGCCAAGAGAATGAATTCCCAGAAAAGTTGAGCAACTCTTGAAATGTTAATGAAGTCCAGGAAACATCCCCCAACAGATTTGAAGATAGCCCATCCCAAAGAAATGTTAATGAACAGCCCCAGCAGATTTGAAGATAGCCCATCCCAAAGAAATGTTAATGAACAGCCCCAGCAGATTTGAAGACAGCCCATCCCAAAGAAATGTTAATGAACAGCAAACTTGAAGATGCTGCCTCAGGAGTCCTTCCTGCCCAGATTACTTCTTTGGCCCACCTGTGTCCCACCCCTGGGCCTTCCCACCTACATTCTATCACCTACTCTTTAATAAACTTCTATTTTCCACTCTAAACTTGCCTCGGTGTGCTTTTGTGTGCTTTTCTGGCGTTATTCTTCAACATTGGGGAAGCAAGGAGTCGTCACCAGTCAACAGCGGTAACAGTACCATCCATGACTTTTACTATAGTTTCTTTTCTTTTTTTTTAGTATTAGAATACCACTTCCAGAGCAGTTCTACCCTTCTCCTCACTTTTGCTAATAGTCTGAAAAATCTCATAAGAAAAACTATCAAGTGCCTAAACAATACAGAAATGTTTCTATTGTCTAATTGTTTAATATCTCAAAAATCTAATCTGATTAAACATTCATATTGCTAGAATTGTGCTCCATTTTAAAATAAATTTTCTAATATTTCCTTCTGTATGGGTTATTTTTCCACTTCATAAGCATGAGTAATGAAGCTCAACTGAAAAGCTATATAAATAATTAGACAAGGAGAGTTTTTTCTTTCTAGTCATTTAGATAACTATTCATTTTGTCCCATAGTTTTCATGTAATAAACATTTAGTGGAAAAATTTTAAAAAACTAGAAAAGAAGGAAAAAAGACTTATAATTTGAACATATAAGCAAAGAATATAGCTATTACCATTTTAGAATGCATTTCTGCACAAAAATATAAAATGTGAGAAACTGCTACATTCTGTCTTGTAACTAATTTTTACACTTAAAATATTTATGGACACTTTCAGGACTGGGGTTGTAGCTCAGTGGTAGCTCACTTGCCTTGTATGCCTGAGGCACTGGGTTCAGAATTGAGTACCACATTAAATTAAATAAAGATACTGTATCCATTTACAACTAAAAAAAAATTTAAAAAATGCTTATGGACACTTTAAAAATTGTGGTAAGAGATATATAACAAAATTTACTGTTTTAGTTATTTGTAAGTGTGCCAATTTTAGATCATAGGATTCTACAATAAAGTTATTCATGACTATACAACATTCTATTAATAAACCATAACACAAATCCTCATATAGGGTATTTATATTTTTTTATTTAATACTTTTGTAGTTGTCAATGAACCTTTTTTTTTTTTAACTTATTTATATGTGGTGCTGAGGATTGAGCCCAATCCCTCATATGTGCAAGGCAAGTACTCTGCCACTGAGCTGCAGGCCCAGTCCCTAAGGTATTTATATTTTAAAAGATATTTCTGCATTATCTTTAATATGTTCTTGAAATTATTCTTTAATCTTGATGATAATTTCACAAGATTTTTGTTATGTCCTTAAAATAAATTCATAGAAATAGAATTTCTTGGGGCCTATCCATTGTTAAAGCTTTTGATACATGCTGTCCTGCTGCTACCAGGAAAGCAAAAAATTGCATGAGCACGCCCTGTGTGGTGTGACTTATGATGGAAACAGGTAGCTACAAGAAGGGAGGATTTTTATGGTGGAGAGTGGTTGAGGCTCTAGTACAGACCTTCTGCTCCCAAACAGGAAGCCTGTCCTCATGGAGTAAGGAGCCCCTGAAATTGCCATACTATTTGTTGCCCTGAGTGACAGGGGACACCAATAAAAAGCACCTAGAATATTACTGGCTTATCTCAGATGTCGATGATAATAGATATCCTAACCTTTGACCTAAAGGACTGTCTCAACAAAAGGATAAAAAAATACAGTTACTCAATTTATAGAAATAAACTGAATAAATAGCTCTCTCTATATATTTAAAAGTCTTTGACATTTAGTTTTTCCCTGTTCTATAGACGCTACATACATAAAACAGCCTCAGGTTTATCTGAAATGTTTCTGCTTATTCTCCTTAAAGTCCAGGCTTTTTCCATTATAGCTGCTCCTGGGTCCTTGAGTCCTAATTAACTCAATGGTAGAGCACAGAGAACTAAGCTGGGATGATGGTCTGACTGATGTGGGTGTGAGGAAAGGTGACCTTTAGTTGTAAACATTCATCAAATTTCACATCCTCCAAAATGTTAGCACCGCAGAGAGCCTGCTAGGATGCAGACACTGTGTCTGGCCTTATTAGAGCCAGGCTTTTGAAATGGTAATTACAACATCAACAGCACTTCATATCCATAAGCTGCACAACCAATGCATGAAGGAACAGGTAATTCAGGAACACACAAACATAAAATCAACAATTTCCCCTTCCTCATTAGAATGCATTTTTCTTTCTTATTAGGAAGAGACCAGAATAGCTATTTCCTTGTGCTGTCACGTTAAACAGCCAAACAAAGAAAAACATGATTTTAACATCCACCTCATCAGATGGTGGCAAGAAGACATTCGTAGTTAAAAAAGAAGGCCCAATGTCATTTGTATGTATGTTCATCATACTATCAGATGTAACTATCTTTATTGTTAACTTCATAGTATTATAGACCACAGTAGCACAACAGATTCTCCCTTTCCTAAAAACATGTTAAGAAGAATCTAAGCCTTGAAAATAGAAATCATTAATATCAGAAATAGAAATTTCCTGAAAGTTGAGGGACAGAGTATGTTCTTGCCTACAACCTGACCAACTTACAGGACAGTCTAGATTTCTTATAGCTACAGAATCTCAGAATTAGTTCCAGTTTTTTAAAAAAGAACTTTGAAAATACACTTTACCTTAAAATAAGTTGATACACATTTAGATGTCAAGAAGACATTAAATCCAGGAGTTGGGGTTTTAAGTGAAGGTTAATCAAGGGGCAGAGAATTGCCAATCAGCCATCCAAAGCCATATTTTACTGCAACAGCACCCCAGGGAGCTAATTCAATTGTACCTCATGCAACTAAAGTGCATTAACACTTCACAAATTGGCCACAATTACAAGATACCAGTGTATTCACTTAATACTAAGGAGCAGGGAGTAATTCAGCATATACTTAAAAAGCTGAGATTGGGATACTTCAGTATTTAATATTTAAGTATTTAATACTGGAGCACAAGAGGAAGAAGGAAGTAAATCCCTGAGTCCTTCAGAAGAAACCCCTCAAGGAATTTCCAGAGAACTTGATCTGTGTTTCTCTAGAGGGAAAATAACAACAAGAAGCAGGAAAATGAATCCAATAAAGAGCTATCTGAAGAATAATGCTTCAGATTCTTCATCTCTAATGAGTTTTTAAAAATTCTTTAAGCTCAAATTTTTCACTATAGATTTCACTTAATAAATCAGGAAATAAAGAAATTTACAATGACAATGAGCTAATGCTGAAAGACCCTAGCCCAGTTAGCCCAGTTACCTTAGGCCAAGATATGAAATCAAGATACCTGGCTTGTCATAAACAGGCTCATAACCGGTTGAGAAAGGACAGAGCACCCACATCCTGAGGCATGAATGAATAAACAGGAACAGATAAGCAGGAACAGAAAGAATAGAATGCAGAC